TGCTTAATTTATCAGACGATGTCTTTTTACTATTTTTTGAACCACCTATAACTTTCTCTGGCTTTTTATTAAAGCTATCTAAAGGTTTTGACTTTGACTCTGCATGTTTAGCAATCCTTTTCTTGTCTCCTTTATTTTCTTTCACTACATTGTCTTGTAGGGGCGCAATTTGGGCTAAATTGTCTATCGCAGAGGCATGCTTATTTGTAATCTTACAAGAGCTGGACAGTGGCTCTGAGGATAAAGACAAAATCTCCTCGTTTTGATGCTGCACTGGGTCAACAACAGGTGGCTGCCAGCAAGAATCAATATCGCAATCATTGTTTGAAGATTGTCTCTCATCATTGGCTGGTCTTACCGCGGGGGAGGAACCATCCAAAGGCACACTGTCCCCACTATATTGCTCATTCACAAAACAAGCATCATAGCAGCCTTGGCTTTCATAAATATGCATAACAGTCTCTTTAACTCCAAATCCATTATGCTCAACTTGGAGAACCTCAGCTACTCCATTGTTTGAAGTATTTTTTCTTGGTTTTGGGACAGGCCGATTACTGCGACTACTGCTATGGCGGACCACATGGTACTCCTCTGTTGTATCGTTATCAGATGTTCTTTTCATATAGGTATATTGGTCCAATTCTTGCACTTCTGAGTGTGGCATCATTTTCACACCTTTCTTTTTGTTATGTTTAGGACCTGGTGTTGGAGCACGTCTAAAAGTGGATTTCCTTTCAATAACTTCAGGAGTATCAGATAATTTATCTTCAATAAATCCAACGCTACTTTTTGTTTCAGTAGGAAGATTTGCCTCTTTTGTCTCCCCTTCATTGTTAATGTGTTTTTTGCCCATTGCATTATTGCAATCAGGCGAACTGCTGGCTGATTCCGAAATCATGGGATAGGTAGTCTGTTTGCTGATGCTAGATCGGCTAAGTGTCGTAGTCCAATGCAGCATCTCCTCTTGCTTTATTTTCAAACGAACTTTCATCTCAACTGTCATGCTACCATCTTGATTCACACGAAAAGACTTCTCGATGTCTTCATCCTGAGGTATAATGCCTGCGGGGTATTGATTCTCGACTGTGGCGTTTACACACGTTTCAATGGCTGTCTCTGGGTCCACTGGTCCATTGGGAATGCAGTGACTATCCAAGTTTCCATATCTGGATTTGTTGATTTGGTTCACAATGTAACGTTCTGAAGATGAAGAGAATTTTCTTGAACCTTTTCCATGCACAGAGGATTTATTGTTATCTGTGTTTTGAAAGAGAAAAAGAAGAAAAATGGCAAACAAAATGATTAAAGCTCATGGGCATGTAGTCTGATTTTACACATAATTTATAATAACTGACACTTACAGTCTTGTCGTTGTGGGATAGATGCTTCGCTTGTCTCCACGTACATGGCCTGTGCTGTTTGGCTACTTCTCTGAAATTTGTAGTTTGCCAGCCTGAATGCTTCGTTGCCTGCTGCCACAATGACTCCAGAGCACAAGATAAGGGCAGCAAGTCCATCAACCTGAAATTTAAATAAACATGAATTAAATTTAATATACAAAGCTCTTTATTTTACTTTGACAGTAACTGGTATGAAAATGTAATACCAGTATCCATATAATGTATGTAGTACATGTAAAATTAATGTTCAATTAATGTGCAAACATTGCCTCAGATTGTAAAGAAAACATGAAAAATAACTTGTTTTCATGAAATTAATTTCTGCTATATGTCCATAATGTCCTAGAGCTGTAATACTGTAGCCTAAACTGGTCAATGCTACACCTATATATAAACCTCAATTTTGTGTCCATAGGCATATAAAAATATCATAAATGTATATATACATTTATGACAAAATTATCGTTTCATCTAGAATGTATAGGTTGCAGTTTATCCACATAAAATTATTTTCTTTTCAAGAAGACTCACCCTTCTTCCATCTGTAGAGTATAGTTTTAGCACAGGGAACTGCAGAATTTGAGAAAGATAATCCAACAAAGCATCAAACGTTGGTGCAGTCCTTTTCTGTAAAATGATTGTGCGCCTAACACTGGGATCTCTATTCTTAATAACATCAAGTCTCTTTGGTGTCCTGATGGCCACTCTCTCTGTGACTTTCCTCACAGTCTCTATAATTACTCCCTGGCGCTTCCGTTTTGCACTAACTGGTCTGGTGGTATTCCAAGGGACCTGTCGTCGGTTCAACTCCTTCAAGTTTATAGGTTTGACACGTTTTTGGTCTGAACAAACATATGAACCTCCATCATACAAGTCATCCAATCCTTTTACAAAGTGTATTCCACGAGGGGTGGTTATCGTCCTCACTCCAAAAGCCAAAGGCACTTTTTTAGATAGAGCATCCAGAAGAGCGTCAAAGGTTTTAAAAGTGCGAGCATTGATGACCATACGATGTCCACTGAATGTGTAATCCCCACTTTTGTAGAAACACACTCTTTTGGATATCACGGGGTCGGAGGCAGGTAACTGGCGGGATGGCAATGTATAACCACTGCCAAAGGAGCCCCCCTGGGCCAGTGGCTCCTGGGAGTGACTGCTCATGATGAGTTAGCTGAAAATAGCACAGTAGTATTAGTAGTTAATGTAAGTAGTTTATTTTCTCATTTTAAAAACTGAAGTATGTGAACTACATCAATTCAGACATTTTTGTCAAACCAATGCCAGTATCTTAAAAATAAAACATGTGATAGTACAACTTCTTGAATGTAAATTGCCTAATGTCTTAAAAAATTGGCACTGCTATTAGCCTCAGTGTGACTGAGTTACAATAGAGGAAAATGCACATTTAAGTATGTATGTCATTTTTCTTAATAACAGCAAAAAGTTAGTTTTACTTTAATGTAACCTGTCGGTGAACACAACAAATGCTAGCAAGCTAAAGCTTGACTGGCACAGATTAAGTAATTACACAAATCCCAGAACGATAGAAAAACTAAATGAAAAGTATGCATAATGCTAGATTTGTACATTGAAAAAATGCTTACCTTAAAGTCACATTTCATCCAGAAAGTAAATTCCAAAGTGAGTGAAAGTCGAGTCCAGTTTTCCTCCGAGCACTGGGTAAAGCTTCTCAAAGGAGCCGTCGAGAGCTATTTTAGGACTTGCACCATCAAGGACAATCTGCCTAATCTTTTCTCATCAGCATGTGAAAAGGGGACAAAATGAGGCACTGCTAGATTACATTTATTTTTACAACTTTGCCACTATTTTACCACTATAAATATGTTCATATTTATTTTTCAATGTATCAGATAATAGAGTTGCATTCAGTAAACTACTCATAGGACCAGAGGCTCTGATTATGTATATTGAAAGAAATTTAAGAAATTCAAGATAACCGCCTGACATAACACTGCAGCATTCCCTCTATTAATAATTATAGTCTTAATTCACTGTCTTATTAAAACTATTCAACTGCAGGTGATATAGACTATTTGTAAATTGACCGGCAGCCGAGCTATATAATCTGATTTGCCGCGTCCTGACCTAAAAGGGATTAAGGTTACTTGCTCTGCACAGCACAAGGAAAATAGGTCCTCAGGATGCACCTTTACCTCTCAGTGTACAGTGGAAATCTTACACTTACTGATATTGTAAAGATGATCAACATAAATATTCTGATTGTATAACAGTGTTTTTTTCTGTCATATTAAGTTACTTTTTTCTGTCATATTAAGTTGTTTTTTTCTGTTATATTAATAAGTTGCTTCACTGCCTGTAATATCTTAAAAAGATGAGAGCTGTGCTATTGCTGCAGAGTGTGCCATTTACACGTGGCCCCTGAGTAAACCCAGCTTAGACCTCGCTCTGTCAGAGAGCAGCCACTGTATAACTGTAGTAAGACACAGGTAACGTAAACATCTTGCTGTGTAAATAAAGAAATATGTTGTTTTCAAATTCAAGAATGTGATGATTTTATCTGTATTCATTTTATTTTTCTAAAGAGTTAGGTGCATTCGGAAGAAACATCTAAAAAGACCAGCATCATTATTATGGGATATTTTCTTATAGATCCCATTTGCATGATCTCTTATAGCCATGTTTCCCAAAGTAGGGGTTGGAACCTCCCAGATGCTGAAAATATATTAAAATTATGACACAACAATTTTTAAATGTTTTGCAATGTTATGAATTAATTACAGACTGCAGTTTTATTTTACAATGGGGAGTATGTGATGTGGTTTAGGTATACCATAAAATGTCTGGGAACCTCTGCCTTATCCATTACTCCATTTGTTCACTAGAAGTCCAGCAATATGGTTAATGGCCTTATTCATTCAAGAGTAAGTTGTATGTAATGATTTGCAAGTGTAGGAAATACCACTGGTAGGCAGGCTAGTGTTTAGCTAGGCTATCAGAGTTAATGTTTTATAATTCAGCATTTACTTTGATATTAGGGTGCCCAGATTTTCAGAAATAAAAACTGGGACACACCTGGGTTAGGATGGTTGGTATAAATAAAATTGTGAAAAGAGCACGTAACATTGTCCATTTTCAACTCAGTTGTGGGTCAGCCATAATCTGAGGGACTGTTGTTGCATTTTTTTATTTTTTTTGTCTTATGGTCATTGGGACTGTTCCTCTGGTCACTCTATTAATATACATTTCGCGTGCTCATGTACTTACCTGAGAAACAAGCTAGGATTTTGGCGCCATCTGACGACTTGAAGAGATTTTGTTTAACTTTCTGGAGGATGAAATAGTCATTAATACAAAATGAAAACCTGTTTTGCCTCATATTATTGAATTTGGGTATTTATTTCTAGTTTACTTGATGTGCTTGCGTTGTTGTTATTTTTGTTTGTTGGGTTACCTGCTGGCCTTCTACAGAGATCCATGGCTCTGTTTCGGCTAACCATCCTGATCGGCTCCTGCTCTGCGCTCGGACATCGACTCGCTCAGTCTGCTACACACAGCCGTGGGTCCACTGTGTGCGGTCCGCCGAGCAGCCGCCGCCGATTCCGCTGTTGTGGCGTGTTCTTTTGTCGCCAATTTTCTTTCATTTTCGACCTTCTTTCGGCTCACGGGACACTCGCAGACATGGGCAAAAAAGAGGAAGAGGAAATCATAAGAATCGCGAAGAAAATCGATAAAATGGCGCAGAAGAAAAACGGGGTAAGGCGAGTGAAAAGAATGAATGCTTACCTGCCTTTAGCCGATCAAACTGGGGCGATGTGTCGCTAATGATGTGCTGTGCTACTGTAGACCGTGGCATTAGCTTCTACTGTAACATCACTGACTTTACCACGATTCAAGCGGGTTTTCAGTCACCATGTCCCAATTTTAAGCTATACCAAAGACTACTGTTGGTATTTATTGAGCGCAACAAGCTAACTTCTCTTGTGTTTATGTTACTGCATCAGTAGCGGGTTCGTTAGCTACAATGCTAACCTCTGTTATTTCGTAACAACATCATTATAACCCAGGTCATCTGAAAGTCCGATAAATGGATGTATGTACCCAAAACATTTCACAGACATGTAATGCACATTGTTTTTGCACAATGTAACCCAGTACGCCATGTTATGAATGAAGTTAGCCGTGTTTGCTGTGAGCTGCTCATACTGTACTCACAATAATACCGCCCCCAACTACACAAGCTCCACCACTGATTGACAATGATTGGTCTATATCCAAATCTATATAAAACATGTTTTTCTCGTTAGCTATCTACTATTAAGTAAGTAGCTTAACTATATACAACCCATCTCTAGAGAGGCTTCTCAGATTGGAAAGGTCCCATTTGGTTCTTGTTTCCATTTGTCTTAATTGGTACGATACTAATGACCATTTATGAGACCTTAGTAATCAGCTGGTATCATGGACTGTAAAATATATATACTGTCTGTTGTAACTAATCTCAGTTTAAAGGAACTCTGTCCTGTGAAGTAAAAAATATATATTACACTCACAACTGAACCTGGGTTGCCAGCGCCTTAAACCCATATAGAGGACACATACTGGTTTTCTCAGTCTAGATTGACAGCATATACTGCTGCAGCATAGGCTTCTGATTAATGGCTGCAGATGCTGGGGTTTAGGTAGTAAGGATTCAAATCAGAGAGAATGCTTTTGGATTTAAACCAACTGGATTGAAACTTGCAACCCAAATGAGACACTTGTGTTAGGCTCATTCTGCATTCTGATTGGATATTGGATAGTCATCTTAAGAACCAAAACACCAGTGTAATAAATCAACATTACACTTAGTCAGTAAGAGCTATGTTTCATTTGATCACGTTAACTTCATGTCTGGGGACACAGTTAGGGCATGTTTATTTAAAATCTAAATCTTACATACATTTACTTTAATGCACTGTGTGGCTGTTTTCTATGTTAGCCATATAATAATTTTTCAAGCACTGCTTTTTGTTGTTATTGTTTTCAACTTGTGTCTGTTTTTTAATTTTATTTTCTTATGCAGGCCGGGGCCTTGGACCTTCTGAAAGAGCTGCGTTCTGTTCCCATGACTTTGGAGCTTCTTCAGGTATTAATATGTCCTTGTTCTCATAGAACACCAATGAAGTTAAGTATATTAAATATAAACTGCAACTGTTTCCCTTCAGTCAACCAGAATCGGGATGTCTGTCAATGCCATTCGGAAGCAGAGCACTGATGATGAAGTGACAGCTCTTGCAAAATCTTTGATCAAATCATGGAAGAAACTTTTGGGTTAATATATATTTCTTTTAATTAATTATGTGTGATCCTTGTGTTCAGTAATCTAGTCTTAAACAAAACTTTCTTTGTTTAATGCTTGGCAGATGCTGAACCAGGAGCTGAAAAAGCTTCAGAAGAGAAGAGAAAAGAGTCATCTGCCTCAGCCTCTCCGTCACAGGGCAGCCCAGAAGTTAAAGAAGAAAGGTGAAAAACTGTGAATTTTTAGTGTCAGTCTGACTCAGTTCTACATTTATTATGTATCATGTGTGATGTTGTCCTTGTCTGTCCTAACAGCAGCTCCAGCAGTAACTCCAGCAGCAAGAGCGAGCCCGCGGAAGTCGCACCAAACACATTAATCAACACCTTTCCTCGAGCCCCCAGCACCTCGGACTCCATTCGGCTCAAATGTAGAGAAATGCTGGCCGCTGCTCTGCAAACTGGAGGTAATCACAGCAGGGAAAAACAAGTATCTGTTGCTATTATTCATTGATTTTGATTTTAACTGTAATGTTGTTTTTTTTTATTAAAGAGGATTACATTGCTATTGGTGCTGACTGTGATGAACTTGGAGCCCAAATTGAAGAATATATCCTTCTGCTTACAACAAACTACTTACAATTACTTTACCTTAACATACTTGTCTTAAAACAACTTTTTATTTTTGAGTGAGCCCCAAACCTGGATAAATTGGGAGCATTTTCGCAAATCTTTTATTATTTATTACCTCCGCCAAGGAGGTTATGTTTTTGCCGGCATTTGTCTGTTTGTTTGTTTGTTTGTTTGTCTGTTAGCAACATAACTCAAAAAGTTATGGACCGATTTTGATGAAATTTTCAGGATTTGTTGGAAATGTCAAAAGGAAGAACTGATTTCATTTTGGGGGTGATCCGGAAGAAATCCTGGATTCTGGATCACTTTGAAATTTTAGTTAACATTGTGGTAAATGGGGCCAAAAATTTTGTTTCTCAATATCTCGGTTAATTATTGACCAAACCCCATGACATTTGACTCAGGGATGGACAATGGGATCCTCTTTCATATTCCAAAGGCTGATCCGGATCTGATCCAGAAGACTGATTTTATCGCAATTTATATAAAAAATGGGGGTAGTCCTTGGCGGAGGTCTGCGCTCTCTGAGTGCTTTTCTAGTTGTTTATGGAATCCAATCCATCCAATGTACTTGTCTTATGTTGAATTCCTTGACCTGTCATTACGTATCTACCAAGAGTTCAAGAACACAGACATGAAATACAAGAATCGAGTTCGAAGCCGCATTTCGAATCTGAAGGATATGAAGAACCCCAATTTGAGGAGGACTGTACTATGTGGCAGTATAACTCCAGAGAGGATGGCTAAGATGACCTCTGAGGTATTCTATTCCACCTTTGCATGTGCATAATTGAAATGCTAAGGATGTACATCAGCTATTTTAAGTTATCAAGTTAAGGTCTATAATGGTTTAATTGTTATATGGCAGAGTTGTCAGACATTATTGATCAGATCAGAATACTGCATTTTCATTCTTTACCATTGCCTGCAATGTCTTGTTCAGTTTCAGTTTTTGTTTTCAAAAGTAAACATGGCGAGCTTGTGTAAACAAAATTGCATAATCATGAGTCACTCACTAAGTTTCCATGTACCTTTACCAACTAGTATTGTTTATCTGTTCATGATAATATGCCCGTTCTGCCAAGGTAGAGCCACTGCTGCTGATCACTAGTCTACCATAGCTTTTAAAATAAATATAAAATTTCCAATTATTCCAAATAAATACATCCATCCATCCAGTGCAGTGTCTGCAGTGATGCAGTCGCTGTATTGGACCACTGTGGTGAAGAGGGAGCAGAGCCAAAAGATGAAGCTCTTGATTTACTGGTCAATCTACGTTCCTACCCTCACCTATGGTCATGAGCTTTGGGTAATACGAGGATAACAAGATCACGATACAAGCGGTAGGAGCTCAGCCACATAGGAGGAGCTCGGAGTAGAGCCACTGCTCCTCCACGTCAAGAGGATCCAGCTAACTTGGCTCAGGCATCTGTTCCGGACGCCTTCCTTGGAGGTGTTCCGTGGATGTCCGAATAGAAGGAGGCCTCTGGGAAGACCCAGGACCTGCTGGAGGGACTATGTCTCTTGGCTGGCCTGGGAATGCCTGCTCAAACTGCTGCCTTCACGACTCAGCCCTGGAGATATATATATATATATATATATATATATATATATATATATATATATATATATATATATATATATATATATATATATATATATATATATATATATATACTGAAGCAGTGTATCCTGTGTACATATACCACAGAGGAGAAGAGTCACATTGAAAACTAGTTAAGCTCTTTGGGTGTCTTGAAAGGCACTCTAAAATCTATTGCAATATAATTATTTATTATTGATTTAACGAAATGCTTTGTATGTTAAGGAAATGGCAAGTGATGAGCTGAAGAAGATGAGGGAGAATCTGACCAAAGAGGCTGTGAGGGACCACCAGATGGCCACCACAGGAGGCACCGTGACTGATCTTTTCACTTGTGGCAAATGCAAGGGCAAGAGCTGCACCTACACACAGGTAAAACTATTGTTGAATCAGTTGAGTTTGTGAAGCTTTTTAAATACAAAAGTTATTCAGGAGATGCTTTCGTCTATTTAGTTTTCAAGCTGTGATAATGACTTCATTTTGTTATGTATCATTGTGCAGTGTCACATCCCCTCACTGTCATATATCTGAGCTAAAGTGGCTTTTGTATTCATTGTATCTGCAAAAGCAGTTGCTTGATGATTTGGCGAATTTCAAAACTTGTCTAAATGAAATTAGCATTTTTTCTTTGCAATTGCTGTAAAATTTTTCATTTACTTTGAAAAAAGATTATAGATTGTGAACACAATCAGGCACATTAATATTTGATAGAAGACTGAAATGTGAACTGCTTAACTAATAGGAGATTCAAGAAATTTCAGAACTGCTTTGTAGAGGTCTAAACTGTGGTTGTGTCCTCAGGCAAGACACATCACCCACATTGCATAGTATAAATGTGGTGTGTGCCTGAGTGGTGGTCAGAGGGGCTAATGGCGCAGATTGGCAGCCTCACTTACATCAGTCTTCCCCAGAGCAGTTGTGGCTGTAATAGTATCTTAAAACACCATGAAACTGTAAAGCAGTTCACACTTTCCCTCTGTCCATGATTTTGCTTTGTATGAGCAGATTTATTTTTCCTCCACATCTGTTGTGCTCCTGTCCCCTTGCTGTGCTCCACTGTGTTGTGCATACAGGAGCAAGGGAAGGCGGATGCAAAGGGAAAGATGCAAACAGTTTATTTTAAATGATGTTTGGCTTGCGTTGCTGTGACACAGGGCGTGTTGATAAAATAGATGCCGAGATGCAAGTGGGCTGGTGCGGGTCAGTGAATTGTGCATCACTGTTGCACTGTTCTCTTGTGTTGTTATGGCTTGTTTGGAGATGCATATTTGCTATCAATATTCTTTAGTTATGTAGGTTGTGCTGTATTACATTGCACATGAGGATTTGTTAAAGATTTTTGTGTCACTTTACAGGTTCAGACACGCAGCGCTGATGAACCTATGACCACGTTTGTTTTCTGCAATCAGTGTGGAAATAGATGGAAGGTAAGTTTAGTTTTGGCTTATCACTACACACATCATATACATCAATAAAAGATTTAACAAAGGTTTCCCTGTTTTTGTTAATCCTTATTTTCTTTTGTTCCTCGTAGTTCTGCTGAATTCTCAAACACCTTTTATGGCACTCCTTCGACAAGTAGCAAATGTCCCGGACCAGATTTTGTCTAAAGCTCCGTTATTGGATCTTTGTGTTCTGTGGTACATGGCACACACACAAACGTTTAACGATGCCACTGCAGTTACTGCTTGAATTGTTATTACTACTTCGCTGTTGATAGAAGTAAGCTGAGTGTCAATGCCCCTTCAACTCTTGACATATTTTACTATTGTTATTAGTTGTTCACTGTCATATATATGCGATTTGTCTCTTTTATGCATTTTTATAAGTAGTTTTAACACATTGATCATGTTTTGCTTACCCCTTCACAACATTACAGTTGTTTATTTAATTTCCCAATAAAGTGTAATCCATTTGATTAAACAGTGTTTCCTAGTCTTGTGAATCTTAAAACAGATGAATTGAAGAGAAGATAAAATGAGCGAGGGGAGGTATAGGTGTGTTCGAGTGTTGGTGGGATGTTTAACACATCAAAGTGAATGCAGATGTATGCATATGAGGGCGGGACAGTTTTATTGGCTGAAGCTGAACACACAATTGTTGCCGTGGTTATCAGGTTTTTTTTTAATTGCCAGGTGCAAGCGCTCTATGTTAATCAGGTCTAACACATTTACTTACAGTATATGATAGTCAAAAGCGTCAACTATTTACTAAACATTCACTATTGGAGTTAATAAAGCCATAGTCGTCATTAGTACAAATGTAGTACAAATGACTTTTTTTTTTTTCCATTTTAATAGCGATTATCCATTTAATTTTTAAATGTTACATTTTTTTGACAGATATAAAGCTTGTTTATCATTATTAATAAGAAGCTTACTATGATTGTACACAACTTTTTGTGGTTATAGTTATATCCATTAGACATTCAGTACTTTTCAAAATTTTCTTAAATAAAGTTGAATAACTTAAAGGTGCAGTGTAACATTTCTTCTGCTTGTCTCCATAGAGATGATATTGCTTTTCTTGGAAGGTCTCACAGTAAACATACAGTATCTATCTCCGCAGTGTCAAATTGGGGACACCTTTAGGACAAGTTACAGGTCAGATCCATGGAGACATGCCCTGCTCACATTAAGAATGCATATTTTACTTTTAAGCTATAAAAACATGTACTTGAATAAATGCGAGACACTGCAGAACATTGTAAACATCAGCACATGAGAACTACAAATGGAATCACTCAAGAGTTAGTTAAAATTATTGTGCTTTATTTTATCTTAATCAAAATGCCCACATGTCGTTATTTCTTGGAGAGTAGCAGAAAAAAAAGTAAAACGTATACTGTAAACATTCACATTATTTGTCTTTATCTCCAGTAAACTCAGAGCAAAAGAACACATTTGTTTTTATAAATAAGTAAACAGAAAAATAATACTTGAAACAACATATATAGGCATCACTCCAAACCATTGCCTTAGATTTGAGGTTGATCTGCGTGGTGTCTCCCAAATTGCACATAAGATAGGAAAAAGTTTTATAAGACAAGTCCACACACGCTGGTTGGCAACCCTTTCAGATCAACGAGCCCTATACAGTGGTCTTTGCCCTCAGCACTGTTCTCCCAGTATGGATTTAATACCCAAATAAGGAGCAAAGACAGAATACATGCAGTAATTTGGCCAATGTTAGACACGGTTTCCCATTTAAACTACTGGCTTCTCACTCAAATAACCACACTGGAAATATAGAGATGTAACAATGCATCAGGAATCAGTACAAGTATATCAAATAAGGTTCTCAATTTCTAGAAATACAATAATACATGTCAAAATTGTGTTCAGATCAGGTGTTTTCAAAATGTTTCTATCCAGATTTTAAATGGGCTTTTTAATAGAACTACAATGAGTCCAGACCAATAGGCTATGACTAAACCAAAACAAAATCAGGTAAACAGTGGTCACAGCTGGAGATAAAACTTAATCAGGGTTTCTGTTTCCTGTTATGGACACCATTTTGAGGCCTTTTGACCATCTAAAGGAGATTATGTTTTGTTAATTGCTAATGTTACCATCCCAATCTTCCATCACTGTCATATCTCTGATACCAGATGCCATACCATGACCACACAAAGTATTATGGAATCTGACTTTCCTATTTTAATTTTTGTTAAAAAAAAAAAAATAAATATGAAATAGAAATAATTTAATTGGACCTCACTGAACCATTTTTACTGATTCAGACTTATGCATTTTTACATCAGTATTAATATGGCAAAAATAACTCCAACTGTTGCCTGTGAGAAAGATGTCACAAAATTGAATGTAAAGGCACTTCCCCATGTATCTGAGGATCTTGTCTTTGAGTGACGAGTTGTTGAGGCAACAACATAAAATATCAACCAAAATATAAATATCATAATAATAAATACATATAATAATTATTGAACACTTGGCAACTCCAATTTTAGTGAATGGAACAGTAATAATAAAATAGAAGACACAGTTTTATGTGGTAGCTTTGGTGTTGTTGCTAATCTGGCCAGGTACAAGCAAGTTTAACTACAAAACGTTTGTGTAGTTTGAACTTGTCTGAGTTCAGTAATTTAAAAATACTTTGTGCGTGTCCCAAGTTTGAATAAATTAAGAGGAAGGTCATCTGTAATATCTAAAATCAACTCATTATTTATTACCATTTATGCTTATAAGTTATATAATACTTATACACTTAAGGTAGAACAGAAATCTACCATTTTAATACGATGCAATAAATATCCATTAATAAAAATTTTTAATTCATTTGACAAAAACATTATACAATTTATATATTTAAGTGATAAAATCCCTTTTAAATGGCTTGCGCTCATTTTGTACTGTGCAAAAGTCTTAATAAAAAAGAAAACATGAACAATAAAGGCGCAACACTAGACCAAAATAAAGAACGCAAATAATATTTGAAAGAACATATATCCAAATAATTCTGTCAAACCTTCACAATGGTAAATAATAGAATAAACTATTTAAAACAACACCTGCATCTAAAATATAAACCAGACTCAAATCGTTTGTTTGGCTCACGTACATGACCATTTATACAATTCCCATCATATATTGGATTATTATTGAACTGAACACTTTTTCACATCCAGCTTTATGTAAGTCTTTTGCACAGTGCTTTACAATGACAGTGAACTGGAGTTGCCAAGTTAATAGAACCAAAGGTGTGAGGCTGTTGAACCAAAAGGTAGAAACATACAGTACCCCACAAAGCTGCCTGCAAAAGTAGAGCTAACATGTAGCCTTTTTGACTTGAGCTTTGATTTTCATACGCATTAAATAGTATATACTAATATAACTCAGGCATTTCCACATTTAAAATACTCACATATTCATTTTTGCTATGTACAAACTCATAAATATATATATATAGTCTACAGTAGGAATCATTTATACCCCAGACAAGCATACAAAAACCATAACGGACCATAAAAAACATCAAATAAAATAGATTGTTTCTATCACAAATAAAGAGAAAGAAAAACTGAAAATAATGTATTCCTTTGGAGTGATTTGCTATGTTGATCTTGTAGCAGTACTTGTGATGTCGAGCCCTCGGGTAAAGTAGATTTTTTTATCCAAGACCTGAGAGACTTGGGTCAGGTGCAGATCACAATAGCGCAGAAATCCCTGGTTTTAAAAAGGGGCCATACGCAAAGGGCCCTGTAATCTTGTAATCCTACACTGAACATTGAAATCAAATGTTTTTAAAAGAAGTATTGTACGGGGAGAAGATATTGGAGAAGAAGGAGGAGGAGAGATGGATAGATAGATAGGTCTAGGATTCGGGGGACTGCTCTGATAGGGTGTTGAGAAGGTTTTTATAAGCTGGGGAGTTCATGTAGCGGGGGTATGAGTCTCTTTGCATTAGCGTGTAGATCTGGAGCTGCGCATCGTCGAACGTGTGAGAGGTGGGCTCCTGCATGCCCCTGTTTATGGCCTCGCGCACTCGGGAGTCCAAACTCACCTGCCGGGAAGCAAAGGACAAGCTCATTAGTCTGATGAAAACTGAAGATGAAGAGATACTGATTCTATCCTGATCAAAGGTCTTGTACAGTTAAATAAGACTTCTTTTCATTTTGCAGTTAGAAGACAAAATAATACAACTAAATGCTAACTGAATGTAATTTGGTATTAGGATACACATACACATGAAATTTAATATTTATTTTATATACACCATTTTCCTTTTCCATATAATTACATCACCACAAAAGTGCAATATTCATTTGAGGTATTATTGTTATTATTATGTAACATGTGTTAACTGAAAAAGCTGTAGCCTTCACCATTCATATTAAAATATGTTAAAAAAAATTAACTACATTTGCTGTACAGTTAATCAGAGGTGGAGACTTGCAAGTCGTGACTTGGACTCAAGTCAGACTTCAGTCACTATTTTTAGGACTTGAGAGTTGACTTGATAAAATGGACTAAGACTTGGGATTCGACTTGGACTTGAAGGTCAGTGACTTGGGAACTGACTCGAACTTGAGGCCTGTGACTTGAAAAGACTTAAGAAGCACTTTTGAATCTGAATTCTTTCTATTCTGACCATAATGATTCACACCAAGATCTTGTCAAGACATTTAAAAAGGAAAAGTGAACATTTCTGTAACTCTTTGTAAAAACTGTAAAAATCTAAGCTATATTTGGTTCTTTGGTTTAAAGACTTGAAATGACTTGAAACTCAAAGCAGATGACTTGGACTTGACTTGGACTTATGGGCCAGTGACTCAAGATTCGACTTGGACTTGCCTGTATTTGACTTGGGACTTGACTCAGACTTGAGGTCAAAGACTTGAGACTTACTTGAGACTTGCAAAACAACGACTTGGTCCCACCTCTGCAGTTAATACACATTTTCGAAAAAAGTGCACTGTATAAGTCTTCTGATGGAGGTATATATTTATTAAATAACAGGTTCTTTAAGTGCTCAGTACTCATTGGGTGACCTTGTTTATGACAAATGCTTGTTTTCATAGAGAAAAAATAATGGCACATTGTGGAACATTCCCATCAAAGCAATAATATCTCTATGGAGACAAGTAGGTAGCATGCCCTCCAACAGAAAAGTTACACAGAGAACCTTTAAATACTTTTTTACTAGATTATTATATCATTGCTGCTTTGGGTTTTATTATACAGACAGGGCATTTGTAAGTGTGTAAGTGGGCTGAAGAGTGGGGAGCGACATTTAGGAAATCAATTCGGTAAGATCTCCATACAGAAAGGTCACACAGAGCCTAGCATACACGTGGCAGTATAAATCCATATACAATTATGCAACAAAGAGGGAATTAATACACTGGTTTATTTATGAACAGAGGCAGTGCTGTTTAAAGGTGCATTATTTAATACAAATGAAGTAGTAGAGTGTCATTAAGAGCGCTCTAACCTCTTTCGGAGACAAGATGGAGATGTAGTCTTCGTAAATGATGCGCGCCTTCTCCTCGATCACACTTTTATTGGTCTCTTGGCAGAACTCCTCACAGGCTAACCAGAACAGCATATTCTCCTCGCTGAACTCTGTGCGCAGAAACTGTCTGAAGGAGTTTCTGCCAGCTGGACAGCACATCAGCTTATCAAAGGACTGGCCCCACAAGCGCACCTCCTCCAGTGTGGGTTTAGGGCTGCACAGGGGAGACGAGTCATTAAACTACAGTAGCTATGTTTACATGTACACCAAGAATCTGATTATTCAAATGTCCCATGACCAGGTTTCATCTGATGTGAACAATGGTGGAAGGTAGCAAAGTAAAAGCAGTAAAGTACTGTACTTAAGCATAAACATAAGGCATCTGTATTTGATTTAAGTACATTTTAAAGTAGATACTTTTTACTTTACTTCACTACATTTGAGAGCAGGTGTCTGTACTTCTGTTCAACAAAATTTCTGAACAAGACTGAAAAGTAAAAGTATTTTTTATTATAGTTTGAGACATGCAGTAAAGGCGGAGGGTTTATTTTTAGCATATTTGTAATTTGAGCAAACAACATCGATTCAGTTGTTTCTATTGAACAAAATTCACTGAAGCTTCTACATCTGAAGCTTTATAAGACCTCAAAATATGTGAAAAATACTTTTAGTTTTACTCTTGAAGTACATATTAAAAATCATTTTTATATTTATTTAATTAATTTTTATATTATTATTATTATTATTATTATTATTATTATTTATTATTTATTATATTTTTTCATCAGATTTTTTTTTTTCTTTTTTTTACTTATTTAAAATTGAGGTCGGTACTTAAAGATAAAATGTTACAGTTTGAAAGAGTTATTTTAAAATGAATTGTACTTCAACAATTCAACAATTACTCTACAACTCCATTGATTAACAGTTACAGGTCACTAGATATTTTTGATGGCCGAATGTATTTTTTGCATGTAAACACAGCAAAAATCAGATCTAATTATTGGGTTATATAACTATTCTACTTTAAGGACATTTAAATGTACCCTCTGTGTTTACATGATAACTGAACTATGAATGTCTAAAGCTAAAATTAGAAAATACTACTGATTCAACATAGTTAAGCAATCTGAATAAGCTCCTCACTTATATCACACTAAAACATGTGTTACTACTATCAATTTAAGTGCCACAACTGTTACTATTTTGGGATATATTAATTTAAAGAGGTAAAAAGAACTCCTGTATGTGTATTAACTTAAATTATGTGAGTCTTAAACTATTTAGTTACTGTCCACCTGTACAGATGAAATACTGACCACTCTTCACAGTCTGCGGTCCCCTCTTTAACGTCATAAGAGACTTTTCGGTTCCTGTCATCTCTGTCTTCATTCCTAGTGGACAGAAAGAAAAAATTCAAACAACACTGTTTTAATGCATACTGTTGTTGTGTCCTAAGGCAAGACACTTCACTTCAAGAATGGCTACAATAGTATAGACTACCACCAGTGAATGAATGAATAATGACTACAATACAGTGCACTGTTGAGCACTGCTGTTTTTGGTAATGCGCCTATGTATGTTTTTCTGCACTTACAAGGCAGATTTCCCCAAAAACTTGGGGTTCGAGTGGCCACCCGAACTTGTAACCTTGTGGCATCAATGAAAAAGTGGAACATTCTTTATATAAGTGGGATGAGAGACACCATATGTAATGTATAATCCTGATCTTGCTTGTAATGACAGTTAACTATTTTACACAACACAGTCCTACTTTAGCACTTTTAGTAAATAAACTGACTGAACCAGACCAGAATTGGTGGGTTTCAGATGACTTTGCAGCAATATTAATATTATACAGATGGGGAAGTTAAAATGAATCTTGTTAGAATGCAGATGTTTCTTGTAATATAGATAGTTCTTGAGTCTCAGTAGTCGAAATTAACAGATTCAACATTTACCATTTAAAGTACAACATAATCAGTCAAAGAAGTATTGCTCTGCTCTTGCCCCCATCTGGGAGTCTGGCATCATCACAGTCTACAATCTGAAAACCACCACTAGGTCTGAGCAGCCCTCACCAGGAGCAACTACAGCAGCAGCACCAGCAGAAGCAGCAGGCGTTGGAGGCTCGTGGGCTGGGTCCCTGGGTCTGGGCCTGTCCTGCTCGTGGGCTGGGTCCCTGGGTCTGGGCCTGTCCTGTCGGTGCGGCCTCATGCTGCACCGACATCTGCCTCTTTCGCATCTCCATCCGCTCTGATCCCATGGGCTGCGGAGAGGAGCACCCAAGGAATCAGGGTGGTATTACCAAACACACGGTAAATGCACACAGCTATAGAGGTGGGTCCAGAATGTTGAGAAATTAGGGCCATGGTCCTTGCCATTGCTTTTAACAATTTAACAAAATTGAAACTTGCATCTTTTGAATTGAATGCATATAACAGGAAGATAAAAAGCATGTACCAGTATGTTTGTCACTGTAATAAATGTTAAAGTGTGATGTATTGCTGCATAAATATTGCAATAAAAACCCTCTTGCAGAGCATGCAATGACATTGATACTGTAGCCCAGTGGTGTTAAATGTAAATGTACACTACTAAATATTATATAAAAAAGACATAATGTACTGTAAGAATAGCTTGTTAGTAATGAGTCATACATACATTCATTATTCAATCCTTTACAGCTCAAATGTTTCGTACAGTCAACTCACATTTGTGCTACATACTTAAGCACGTTTCTTAGGCAAAATCTGTATTTTTGTTAGGTGCAGGATTAATATAGGATGACACTGCCTCAGCTAGTATCCTCCTTTACCCATTAGGCTGAAGGTTTGATGCTCAGTATTGCCACACAGTCCCAGACAAACATTCATTCACTAAATGCCACTTAAACATGACTTTGAAACATGAAAACACAGTGCGATATATTATGTTAGCCCATAAAGCAGATTCTCAAGACGCAAGGACAAATATATAGTTTATAAAAATATCAAAGCATTTATATAATCTAGCAAGGTAAGAAGCGAACTAAAAATAGCAATGGGAAACACTAGGTGCCCTGTCAAAACAACCCAGAGGAAAAAGCCAAATGGTGTACACACTTTAACAACACTGCTGTACAGATGAAAAATGTATGCTAATGACCAATCCCAAGGGCTACACCAGTTTATATGTTGTACGGTAAAGTGCTTTAGATGCTTTCGGGAAACTATCAGTGTCACTCTGCAATGGTAGGCTTTAAGAATTCTACTACGCTACAATGTTCCTATACTGTACACACACGCTTTTCTACTGGACATTTCCCTTAAAAGAATTTTGTCAGTTGATTACACAGGAGCTCCAATTTGCTGCAAAATACATCACTGTGCAATAAAACAATTAATACATTTCAATTCTGAATTATTTTATTTTAATTCAACATTTCTCTCTATTTGAATTGTTGGAGGGAGCCTCAGCTAACCCACAGTAACAAACACAAGGCAATTGCATACGGAAACAGCTGACCACATATGCCATTATCGCTGTACTAAATAATACACATATTTGATTCCTTATTCTTGTATGTTCTGTTGTGATCTAATGAGTAAACAGTTGTCTGACAGTGTGTGTCTATAAATCCTTAGATCTTTGTGGACATCATTACCCAGAGTAACCTAATAGTAACAGGTAAACAGTATTATACACAGCCTTGGTCAATGCCACATACATTAACATAGCAGCAATATTATTTAGAGCCCCTTTTAAGAAATTATGCATTGATTGGCTCTAAAGAACAAGGTATATTCATAAAAAGAGAAAGATGAATCACCTCAACATATCAGTATTTGAATGCATAAATACATTTGTTTGTTGGTACACTATTGGATCAGTAGCTGTAGTCTAAATTTTGAAATAACCCACTGCAGCAGGAATGCATTAAAAGATTTTCAGTAATGGGTTTTTGCATGTAGAACACACTGCAAACTCTAATCTCTTATATAAGTTATTAATCAATTCATAGTAGAGTAGAAATCACATAGATGGTTTCAACTATAGGGCAAAGGGGGACAGGCCTGAGTGAATAGTAGCTACACAGAAAATGATTTCAACAAACGTGTCACCCCAAGCCAAATGCTGTCAGATCGTTTTCGTATTAAAACCTTGCCCGTGAACGCCTCTTCTGGTAACTATACCTGACTACGAGGTTTGAGAGATGTCAGAAGATTTTGTCCATAATGAGAAGGGGGGAGGAGGGGAGGAGAGGGGGGGTATCGGAGGAGCAGCTCGGAAAATCTCACCACAGCATCGCTCTATCACAGCTTTTCAGTGAATACAATATTTGGTGTGCGCTCTAAAACGGATCTGCACCGACTAGGCTGCAGGATTTTGGTCTCTTTTTCACCGAATACCATTTTACCCGTTGTAGGTGTAGGCTATTTCCAATGGCTGTGTGACTCAACAGCTATAGACGATGCGATGGGGGTGGGGGGTGGGGGGTGGTCGTATCCATTCAGAGGGAGTAATTATGCTAACACCAAATCCAACATCCGAAATCTCAGCAGTGGATTCGAACGACGCTGACACTACGTGGTTTGGGTGACAATCAAAAACGGAAACCCACGGCACAGCAACTTGTACATCACATCAATGAAAAGTGGCGTTCTGGACCAGCGTTACAAAGTCCCCATCGCAAAGGATCGCCACCGAAAAATACCGTGCCTAGATCTGCTAAAAGCCAATAGAACAGCAAGCACAGTGACATGCCACCTTCAAATAACGCAAGGAAACGACTTCGAAACCCCGCGCTCGTGAAATCTACGCGCAGCACTACGACGCGTTTGCTTTTTAAGTACTTACAATTTCACCATGTATGCACAGCGAGAAGAGGTAATTCTTTGCCTTGATTACATCCGATGGCACATAAGGGTTTTTTCTCTTCTCCCCCGACCGGCTGCTTCAAGTCACTACGCATGCGTGTACCGTCCGACTCGTAGTAGCCCAATGTGAAAGCGTAATAGCGCCCTACGGTAAAGAAGGGTTCACAGCGCGCGTCGTGTCCTTTACCCTGACTGGACTGACAGCGTGACTGAAATAACTAGACTTTGGAACTAAATTTAACTTTATTTTATATTCTACATGACATATTATTTCATTACTTTAAGATAATTTGGAGATGTTGTATTGGCGCCAGGGTAGGGTGGCCACTTTAATCTGTAAGAAAAAAAAAAGGTCACACACTCGTTGAATTTCTTGGGACATGAAGGGAGGTTTTTTATTTTCTTTCATTCACGTTATACAATTCCGTGGTATCACTAAAATCAAAACAGGGACAGGTGGTCACCCTATTTGTAAAGCGGGTCTCCAAGGCTTGGGTAGCTGTCCATGGTGCTGAAATGCTCCCTGAATCACTTGCGCTTTCCAAATGACCGCAAATGTATTTAAAGCCAGGAGATGGTTTTGTTCTGTTTCTAACTATATTTATCTCAACCCCCTCAGTCTCCTTTCCAGTCCTTCACAGATGACTAGCGTGTGCTTTGAAATTCACACTAAACGGGCTTGACAGTATCGATGTGGAGGGCAACACTGCCACCTCAAGGTCAGAGAGGTAATAGCATCATTCACAGGAGTCTCCTCTGATGGTACAGAATTATTACATTAATTTCTTTAGAAGTAGAATAGAATAAAATGTGTATTAAAGTAAAAATAAATTGTATAGACACTTAACAAATAACATTTTCTGAGCTTTGTATAGTAAGTAGATAAAGTAATATCATTCATATTATTACTATTATACATCTTTGTCACTCAATTTAGAAAAAATGTAATAAAATAAAATGTATTTGATTTAGTGCAAAATAATAGATAATCTCCCAATGACATATGGACCGTAATAAGCAATGTCTTGTAAATTATCTTATCACAATGTTTTATTAAATTTTTTACTGTAAATTCAAAGGCTACAAAAGAGTGGACACCGAAATGTATGTCAAGTAAGTAACTAAATAATTTCCCACTGAACAACAGTAAACCTTTTTCTTCCTTCATTATGTTTTGTTTAATGCAAGCACCAGATGGCACTGCACTCCCAGAAGCCAAATATGTGCTGAAGTGCACCTCAAATATCTGCATCAACTATGAGTCATTCATTCATCATTTCATTCATTTAAACTCCAAGCCCCACACTACAATATATAAGAACAGACCAATTACCGCAAATTTTTTCCCGCTATATCATAACAAACATTTAGTCTTTATGCTTTAAGTAATATGGTATACCTTTTGGAAGCTATACAGTTTGGTAAAAAATTTTTGGTTATTACTCTGAACTGTTGCAAGCTTTTATAGCAATGTTGTCACGATACTAAAAATTCAAATCAGATTGTGACACTAAGGGGGAAAAAACAATACTCAATACTGAATTGAATTCCACAAAACAATATGCAAACAATAGTAATATTATCTTCTGATCTGTTCTGATACAGCACAAGACTATCCTATAGAAAACTATTTGTGAAAGGTCCAGTTTTGTCATACACTTGTCCTGTTCTGAGTATTTCGATACTAGTTTTTGTATTGATTTTGTATAGATGTATTTGTATAGATCCTGTATTCCTCTGCACTGGTGAATTTCAAGATTGAACATAAACCTTCACAATCATATTCTGTGAAATCGCGGTGGATGAAGTGTTTTACCCAAGGACACAAAAACAGTAGCAGAGATCAAACTACTGCTGCCTCAATTCTGGAGAATGTTCTGGTGCTCTCTTGTTTCATATCAGCCACTGATTTCCCCTTTTTCTCTTCAGATCTCTCCATATACATAGACACATACCCATACATATTTATTCCACTAACATGTGACTTAATTCACCACACTTCATTTACACCTTCCTCCTCAATTCACCCGTTATGCAAGAGCGTCCCCTTAAAAATAGCTTCAATGCTGCGATTAATACATGCAAAGACATTGTACATTGCCGAACAGGAGGCAGATTGTCTTCCGATTAAGCCAAATGGACAAGGCTAAACATTACATCTGGACTCAAGGTCAAGTGTTTCCAATATGTGATTAAGAGGATTGAAGTCACTGCTTTAAGTATAGAGGAATTACACTACAATCTATAGCAGGATTGGACATGCAGGCTCAGAATACAGAAACACTTGACTTTGAAATTGTTCATGATCAAAAATCCTTCAAAAAATTTGGTTTATTGAAGACTATATTACACATCATACAACTTGATTATAACTCTATGATTACATTAAAATCCCCTACTCATAGGGTTTTAGCTTCCTGTTATAGGTGACATTTTGAGGACCCTTTACCATTCATTTGTTAATTGCTATGGCAACAGTCCTATTTTTTAATCTTTCTGAAACCCACGGACAATCTTTATGACACATAAGTAAAGGATCGCAATAATTGTGTCCTTTGCTTACCCCTTGTGGCTGAAGTTAGTATATTTCATCTGTCCAACGGTATTTTACAAAAACAATATGGCATTACAAATGTTATTTTTTTAAGATATGTATGAATATAGCCTATAATAAGAAGTATTTTATAACGTAACAAAATGCTGATTAACAATAATATTCAAGGGTCTTATTCAGGGTAAATGTTTGTGTCAACATCACCCAAAAATTATCTGATTATTTGATACCCTATTGAGCATTTTCTCTATATATATTTTAAAGGTGAACTGTGTAACTTTTGTTTCTGTCAAGTACTTTTTCTCCATGGAAATGTTATCGCTTTGTCTAGAATGTTTCACAGTATAATATTAAATGTTTCTATCTTCATAGAAACCAAAGCAGGTCAGGTTTGTGGAGAGGCAATCCCGCCCACAATCAGAACCTGTTTTTCTTGGTATTTTTGAGCTATAAATCCACCTGTAATTGAATAAATGTGAGGTAAAACTGTTTAATATCATACTGTGGAACATTCCAGACAAAGCAATGGCATCTCCATAGAAACAAGAAGGTGACGGACCCCTATCCAAAAAGTTATATAATACATCCTTAAGTTAAAGTAATGCTATGATTCCACTTTGAAACCAATATATTTATGTCACATTTGTGCACAAGCCGACGAGTCGTGGTTCTTTAAAACCTCAAGGCTCATGTTGAAGTATAAATGTGCTTCAAATAAATTCGTTTTATAAGTAAATTAGATGCAAGAAAGCAAGTAAATCTAACAAAGTAAGTACCATTCACTTATTCCAACAACCAGCAATTAATTTAAATACAGCGAACAGAGAAGTGCTATTGCAATTCATTACAGCTACAATAAAATAAGACATCATTCACCACCATGGCCTTTTACTGTCAGTGTCTGCTGTGGTCTGGACTGGCTCAACCCAAATGAGCTTGCCTGCATGTCACCTGCTCATCTCATATACCTAGAATGTTCCACAGTATGATATTAAACAGTTCTACCTCACATTTATTCAATTACAGATGGTTTTATAGCTCAAAAATACCAAGAAAAAACAATCCATGGAAACAAGCTAGGAAACACCACCAGGTCAAGTTAGAGGTCAGATCTATGGAGTAGCAACCCCGCACAGTAAGAACGCATATATATGTTTAATGCCATACTGTGGAACATTCCAAGAAAAACAAAAAACATATCCATGGAGATATTGCAGGTGGTTGAGCCTCCACCAGAAAAACTACACAATGCACCTTTAAGTTTAATGTGTAGTACTGTGTCCTAATCTTGTAACTGGCAAGGACAACACAGTTACTATATTTGTTTCAATACTACCTGACGTTTTTTATATCATGTGTTTGTAGTTGTGCCAATGACCTTAATTATCTTACTTCTACATCCACACACAAATTCAGTCTTTCAAATGTGTATCATTAGTCCTCTAGCTGCTGGTAGTAACTTATCTTTACTATGGTCTATTTGCTTTTTCCTAGAAGTAGTCTGCTAAAAATAGCACATGAGCTATCTAGTTTTTAGAAATCTTGTATTATGTTACAGTAATTGATAGTTTGTACATGCTGTGAAATATATACCCCACCCCCACTACCGTGTACTGTGATTTATAACGACTTGAATCGGACTATTTAAAGACACACCATCTCCTTTAATCTGCTTACGCCTCACTCAGACAGGAAGAACTTCCCAAAATAGAAATTTGGCTAAAAAACAAAACATCTTATTATCAGTTAATTAAGTGGAAATATTTAGATCATGATTCTCAATGCCACAGTGTTAGAATTAAATGAAATGTGATTATTTCAGAAGTCAGACTTTACATGTGATGGGCATGGCTATAGAATAACATACTGTTGCCAATAGGGAAACAAAGTCAGTTAACTACTGTTTCTTTCCAACTTCTGTCCTTATTCTTATTTAATTTTACACAAGAACCCTAAACAGATTTTTCAGTTATTTTTACACATTTCTTGTAAAGATCATCATTGTAATTATTTATTTTATTTTATGTTACAAGTATAGTGTCTTACTTAGTTTTAATTAATTTAATTTTGGTTTCATAATGCCTTATGCATTATGAACCCAAAATTAAAACGGCTTGTTATTCATTTACACTCAGCCTTAGTGTTCAGCTTCTGTAGCCATAGCTGCCCTGGAGCTGACTGTTGAGAGATTGCTGCCATTGCTGCCATCATAAGAAGAGTCTTACCCTGGTCTTACGGACCAAGCGTGTCATCGCAAGAGTATGTCAGTGCTATAATCTATATATTTTTGAGTTATATATATTGATATAATATTGTCTTGGATTAATAGAAACTCCCACTTGTGTTTTCAGGCAAGAGCCTTCTTCCACCTTGCCTGTGTGAATGTATCGCTGTTATTGATGGACGTGGATGAAACTGTGAAACAAAAAGACACCAGGGCAGCTGTGGCTATATTTTAGATCATCGTAGATCATGTTCTTTATGTGTGCATAGAGGAATTAATAATGTGCTGCTGTAGAGAACTTTTTAAAGGTATATTGATACAAGGTATACTACATACCCATATAATATATTATATAAATAATGATACTCATGAAGTGAGCCTTAATGTTTGTTTGCTTGCTAAAACATTGAGTCATCTATAATTAAAAAGTGGCAACAAAAAGGATACAAGAATATGAAGTGCTAGTCTATTTCTACACTTCTGTGTAATAGCCAACTTGAACCTCAATCAAGACATTTAAAAACACTTTTTGGCACATTGCTGATGCATATCATCTGAATATTGTTATCAAGATAATGCAAAAAAACACCTACATGTATTCTCATCATCACAATGCAGGCTCACTTTAATGTCCTTACCTCAAGGCACACAATCTCCTGCTCCTCCCTGTCTTGATCATTGTAGTTGACGGTGTAGCCCACGCCGCGCTGACAGGCTCGGGCCAGCCCCCTCACTCGTTGCCACATCAGGGTCTTGGAGTGGCGGACGCGGCGCACCGTAACCGTGGGCCTGATTTCCCACTGTCTCACGGTTCTAATACATGGCATGCTCCGACCGCAAAGCCCAGTGCCGCCACTGTTGCTGCCACCACCGAATACGCACACGATCATGAAGAAAACAAGAAATCTGTGACTTTTTCCTCCAGAGAGTCAAGCAGTTTGTGTGTAGTTTGAAGCATAGTAGTAGAAGACGCATCAATAAAGACGTAGTTTTCACGAGGCAGAAGGACAGTGGAGGATTAGGACAATGTGATGCTGATTCTTCCCTGCTTTGCTGCACCGGCTTAGGCCAGATTAACTGCGAGGTCTTATGTCTGTGTGGGAGAAGGATGCAGGGAGGCCAAGACGAGAGCGCAGAATGTCCCAGGCCTAATGTTTCTATCAGAAAAAGGCATATTAACCATAGATTAAGTGGTTTTACTGTCAAGGACATACCTTACAGAGTCCATAGGCATATACAGATGCATTTATGACACATTTTTATTATTGATACTTTCACTGGCCTATCTGGCACTGTCCGTTTACCATATCATCACAGAGCATCACAGATGGGAGTGGGGACTGAACATGAAGCATACATTTAAAATAAAAATTAAGATGAAGGTGTTATTGTTTCCGAATAGAATCTGTCCTCTTCAGTGCTGCTGGGGGAACCTGTCCAAACATCTATAGATCTTGCTTTGATCTGGACTCTCTTTAGCTGGAGTTGGAGGTTTGATTTCACATATTACATGTCATAACTGTAGATTGTAATGCATTGTGGAACAGAAAATCATTACAGTTAGTAAGAACTTTTTGGACAGCTTTTTCAAACTGCATGATTTCAAAACATACAGATAACCACCTCTGAAACCTTTTCCACTATGGACCACTCCTGGATAGATGAGCAGATGAGAGATTACACCAACTACAATTTATGAATGGATACTAATAGTACTACTTAGTACTGCTCTGTCTGATACTACTACGACTGCAAATTACTGCAGATAACATTGTATATGCATAATAAATCAGTTTCCACATTTTCAAATTTATTTTAATTTGTATTTTGTACAACCTAAAATGTCACAATCTCAAATTCCACCAATACAGTTGATAGTTGCTGTTTGTTCACATTAGCATTACAGTAAATATAGTGACTGATGGCACTTTGGTTGTTTCCAATTAATGAAGTGGGGAGATAAATAGTCTAAATTCCTCACTCGTGGCTGAATGTGCACTCGTGTCATAATGTGCATGAAATTAACCACCTTGTAAAGAAACACTATGGTGTACAGTATAATTTATGTTTCATACTATATCCCTAATTCAAAAGCCTTTATATTGGAAAAAAAAAAGTATTAACTTCTTTGCCTAATGTTTTTTTGTTTGTTTGTTTGTTTGTTTTTTACCTAATGTGTTTTTTTTTTTGTTTTTTTTTTTTTTTTTTTTTTACTACAGATGGCGAGACTAAATGGCTCAGTAAATTATAACCATCGATATATGTATATGCACAGTCCATGGTGCAGTCTGCAGTAACAGGAAGTGTGAGTGCAGCATGTGACCGTCACATGACTACAGCACTCAGCTGTTCCACTGGAGAGAAACATATCAGGTCATTTACACTTTTAATGCATCTGTTTATTTTGAATTGTGTACATTTGTATGCTCTACTGTTGCGATTATCTGAACAATGTCTAATTATTTAGCTTTGATCAGACTGTGCTTCACGGTGGTAAATTGAATGTTTTGGAGTTACAGCTAAATGTAGCATATGTCGAAGCATTTGCGGTTATCCTCAAAGCTGTGGGGACATATTTGCTTTTTTATTTGCCTGTATTAGTTATGTGGTTTTATAACAATCAGCGTTATATCTTAGCTGACAGTTGCTCTTTAATTAAAGTCGGTGGCACAGAAACACATTCCCTGAACTCAATGTCGTGACACCGGGCTAGCATGGTTAGCATGTACTGTATTTAATACCATAAGAACTGGATTGAGTAATGCTGTGTAATTAAATAAAACGAATCAAATACACATTAATGCACGTAACGAGACTAGTAGTTCGTGTCGCATGTCTTTCCAAATGCCTTGTCTTTTTCTATCGGTATAAACGTAAAGTTAGCTTACCTAGCTTAGTTTATTAATTTGTGTGTCAAGAGGTAGCATTGCTATCTATGCTAACAGTAGCTAAAGTGTGATATGCTTGCAGCTCACTGATGTTTTCTCAATGCAGTGACATAAACATCTTTAACAATGGATATCCGCGGGGCTGTGGATGCTGCGGTCCCCACCAACATCATCGCGGCCAAAGCTGCAGAGGTCCGGGCCAACCTGGTCAATTGGCAGTCCTACCTGCAGTGAGTACACCACCATCAGCACAGGGTTCAGAGCACATGACATCCTTCTACATATACAGTATATTCTCTTTAGAGTATTTTGTGTTTAACGTGTGTGTACCATGACTCCTTTTGGGCACTGTGAATCACTGCTTTATGTGAGACTTCCTGTTTATTCTTACTTCTAATACTCCCATTTCCCAAATTGCTCATAGGTGTAATTTTTTTACTTGACCAAAACCTAAAGTCTGAGAGGTGACACTGAGATACTGTGCTTTTTCAGTGCTGAGTTCAGAGTCAGTATTTTTCATCTTAGACAAACTTGTTTACTATAATTATCTACTGTGGTTGCAGCTACAGAAATGGCTTTCATGTTGTCACAAATTGAAATATAAAAGATGCATATTTCAGAGTGAAAATTCTCGTGTAATTGGGCCAACTGTAGCCATTATCTGTCTATAGCAACTGTTTTGTACCTGCTTTTATTTGTAAGATTTTTGGATTTTATAGAACACTAGAAATGTTTTGTTTTGTCTTGTAGGAGTCAAATGATTTCAGCTGAAGACTGTGAGTTTATCAAGAAATTTGAGGTGGCCAGTTCTGAAGAGAAACAAATTATACTGTCTAAAGAGGGACACCAGGTATTTACTTTTTGTTTATTTAGTTGCCTTGCTTGCATTTACCTATTTAAAATGTTCTTGTGGGTTCACCTTGTCCAACTCTTGTGTGTGCTGTATTTCTGACACTGTGTGATTTGTTCTTACTCAGTGCGCGAAGACTTTCTTGAATCTGATGGCTCATATCTCGAAGGAGCAGACTGTCCAGTACATCCTGACACTGATAGATGACACTCTGCAGGTAAGCTCTGAGGAATGACATGTGCCGCTGTGAGGAGACTGTGATGTCAGTGTTATTCATTATCCAATTTACATTTCATATAATGGTGGAAGTGGAATAAATGTAGGCAAAATATTAGAATAATGTGCTAAAATGAGCAGTTGTGTCTACTAATAATGCACAATTTATGAAGAGATTAAGTAAAGAAAACAATAAAAAGTCGTGACAAACACACACATTTATTATATTGTTCTTTCAATTATATCTATTTTTGAACATTACAAACTTTTTTTTTTATTTCTTTGACTATAGGAGAACCACCAGAGGGTGAACATTTTCTTTGATTATGCCAAAAAGACAAAGAACACTGCCTGGTCATATTTTCTACCCATGCTGAATCGCCAAGACCTTTTCACTGTCCACATGGTGAGTAAATCTTCAGACAATTATAATATCTCTCAGGAAAGTTATACAGTCTATATAAACCAGGCAGGATATTCAACTCTGTGTACAAATGTTTGCAACTGCACAGCTGTACATCTTTTAAAAGTAAGCAATTCAAATTAATGTTTTGGGTTTTTTTTAAATGAGAAGTGTTATATATATAATATGAGAAGTGTTATATTTGACAATATTCAACAGATGTAGTTATATAGTAAGTAAGTTTATGCATGCTCTGTTTCTTCACTTACTATCCTACATATTACTTTGGTGATTTAATCAATAATTCCTCACAAACTGGGCAGCCATGGTAATGAACGTATGAAAGGATGACCACCCAATGACTTTACAGCACTGCAATAGGGCAATTAGGAGCTCTAACCAGATGGCATCTAGCAGGGGGCTGCTACTGACCCTGTGTCTTTGATGCTGCTCTTTCACTTGATGGACCTACATGTTGACTTGTTCTACTAAAATAGTATTGCCCTCCCCATCAGCTTGAAGGAAAAAAATAAAATAAAAGACTAAAACCAGGAAACTTTAACAAGGACTTCATGTTTTTTTTCTGCCCAAACCAAGATTCAACTAGAACTATACTACTATAGAGGCGCTAAAATTTTAAAAGTAAAATTTTTTAGTATTGATTTTGTTGACTATTTTTGTTTTATCAATGTAATTATTTAGTTTTGATTTCAGTTTTGTTAGTAAAATAAAGTATCACTAAAAATATAGATATGTATTACTACTGAATATACATTAAAATTAATAGGGGGGGAATGGAAACAATATTTAAGGTTTTTTTCAACCAGAGAAATCAAACCAGAGCATCATCAAGCTTTCTACAGGTCCATGAAGTACTGTAAAATCTGGTAATTAAATAAATTAGCATAACATTTTATTGATTGATTACAACAACACAGAGAACACCAATGTGGTTTAAAGTTGTGGGAACAGTCAGTCAAAACAGTCAGACAAAATAAAATTTGGGTTGTCAACAAGAACTCTGAACAACTTGGATGATATTTAAATCTCTTGTATTAGGCTGCCAGGATCATTGCTAAGCTGGCTGCCTGGGGACGAGACCTGATGGAGGGAAGTGATCTGAACTACTACTTCAACTGGATCAAAAGCCAACTCAGTTCCCAGGTGTGTAACTATATGTACTAAAGAAATAATACGCCTATATTTATGTGTTCCTGGTGGTACAGATTCCCTTAACCTTCACCCTGTGTCCAACCTTTGCCTAAGAAAAATGGATTGTCTCGCCCAGGACCTTTTACAATAATAGGTTGATGAAATAAAAAGCTGTGTCTTTTTGTAATATTTTTGATAACATGTTTTTAATGTGTTTCCTACAGAGTTCTTTTTTTCACACACGTTTTGGCTTGAATGCTACCGCAAAAGTATAATTTGATCAATGATTACTTCTTGCACTCCTAATTAAATTGCATT